TTTGCACTTCGCAAGTCATGGCAGGAGCGCTACACAGATTGGAGAGATGCCAGGGAGGAGGTCGTGGTTATGGGGCCTGACAAGTTCTCATCACTGACCACGACAAGCTACTATGTGAAGTCCCTCTCAACTGGCAAGTTCTTCTACACCGATGATGTGGTTCAACCACCTGCTGATGCAATTCAGGAACTTCCAGAAGCACCACCTGCAATTTACCTTGAACAACGTGGAGACAGGGCAATGCCTCCTACGTGGTCTGGAGCTCCTTCTCGCCGTTTGCGAGGCAAAACAACGGTGCCAGCAATTTCGATGATAGCCATCGAGGGGGAGGACCAGGGTCAGGGTCAAACAACAAACCCCACAAAAATGGTTGAAATGGTTGGTACATCCAAGTTTTCAAAGGTTGGATCAGATCCTTTTTATAATGTTCCTGAATGGTTGCACCCACATTTTGAGTTGGAAAGTGTAACTGGTAGCGATGAAGAAAGCTGGTCGCTGAAAACGGACTCAGAAAAGACCTCGGCCAGCTCTGAAGATCGGACACCATCGATGCAGTCCGATGTGGTTGAGCATGGAGGTGGGGAGAAGGAGGAGGCGCCTAACGACCGGGCTGGTGGCGCACACCCGGTGGCCTCAGGTATGGATGCTATGACAGCACTTCGATGTCTACATGGCAACATTGGGGCCTACATCGAGGACGAGTACACCAAGCTGGATGCGACCACGGATGAACAAGCCTTATGGATTGGTGCCCTCACAGACGCCATCAAGATGAAGGCGATGATTGAGCATCAGCTACAAGAAGCTCATGAGGTGGAGGCCCAACAGGTGAGTCAAAGCTTGGAGAAGGAATTTCTGGTGACGAAGACCATCAGCAACTCTGAGGTTTGGTCTCATCTGGATGATTGGGAACCTTCAATCAAGGCGGAGTTTGAACAGCTTGTCAACAACAAGCAGGCAGTTCGTCAAGTGACCAAAAGTGAGCTCCGTCGACTGGCCAGTGAGGCCGGGTTGCCCATCGAACTTCTGCCGGGAAAGATGGTGCATACACGAAAGGCAGGTTCGGGAGTTTATCGCTCTCGGGCGGTGGTTTGTGGCAACTACCAAGAAGCTGGCAGCGATGAACGCTATGCCAGTGGTGTGGATGGCAACCAAATTCGAGCTCAAGTACGACTGGCTGGAATGAAAAGCTGGTCAGTATGTGGAACAGATATAAGGGTTGCATTCCTGAACGCTCCAAAACGTGACGACACGAGGATCACGGCTATGGAGGTGCCCACTGTCTTCCGAAAGCTTGGACTTGCTGGTCCTGATGATGTGTGGATCATCCAGAAGGCTGTTTATGGTTTAACCAGCTCCCCTAGGGACTGGTGTCTCTATCGAGACGAAACCCTTCCAACGATGTCGTGGCGGAGGAATCGACAGGGACAAGAAGTTGACGGAAGCTTCATTCGAACCCCTGATGACAACATCTGGCGCTTGGAGGAGGTGAACAGGAAAACGGGGGAGAAGTTTTGGGCTGGACTGATGTCCGTGTATGTGGATGACCTGCTGATCACTGCAGAGGATGGTGCTGCAGAAGCGGCGATTCAGGCCATTGCTGATGTTTGGGCCATTTCGGAAGTTGAGAAGGCTGAGGTTCAACGACCTGTCAAGTACTGTGGCTTTGAGATCGAGGCGGCTTTGGATCAAGATGGATTCATTCTCACGCAGAGAAAGTATGAGCAGGAGATGCTTCAACGGTGGAATGTGACCAAATCCATCGAGTACCCCAACTTCAAGCTGAGCGAAAGTGATGAAGATCCTGCTGAGCCAATTGACCAAGGCCAGATCAAAACGGCCCAGGCGATAGCTGGTGCGTTACTTTGGTTGAACACTCGCACCAGACCTGACATTTCTGTCGGGGTGTCGGCTGTATGCAGACTTGCTACAAAAAACCCAGCCAAATCAATTGAGATTGGGATGACTTTGATGGCCTATATCCACGGAAATCCTGGAGGTCTTCGATATCCCAAAGGAGTCCCTAAAGAGGTTTGGGGTGAAAGACAGCAGCTGAAGATTGCCCGAAACGTTAAGCTCCTCGAGGTCTTCTCAGATATTGCCTATGGAACAGGCTCCAAAGGACGCAGTGTGCAGGGCATGGCTATCTATTTTGGTGGATGTATCATCAGCTGGCAGACATCAATCCAACCATTTGTGACGCATTCAACGGCAGAGAGCGAGCTGGTGGCATACTGCGACTCCTTGAATGCTGGACGGTCTGCTGAAGCGATGATCTCTTCAATGATGGGCATCCAGTCTGGCAGCAACGAAATAGAAAGAGTGATCTATGGAGATAACGTTGCTGCGATCGGTCTGGCTCATGGAACAAGCAGCTCGTCATGGAGGACGCGCCACTTGAAGATTAGAGCTGGATATCTTCGTGAGGCCCTTGAAGGAAGAGCACCGGGCGGCATTTGGCGCTTGTTGCATCTACGTGGGTCAGAGCTCGTGGCGGACGGATTGACGAAGCCACTCCTTGGTCAGGCATTTGCAGCCTTCCTGACCGATTTGGGAACGCTTAGGCAACGTCAAGATGCCGAAGTACAACATGACACTGGAGTTTCTGGTGCGGCTATCATGGCCTTGATGACAGGAAGTGTCTTGCTTTCTGGAATGGATGAAGTGGGGGGAGAGGACGAAGCCGGCTCTGGGATCACTTGGATCTGTGGCGCTGTTCTGATGGCTTTGGGGGCAGTCTATTTGGGCCAAACTGCTTTCAGCGGTGTGCGATGTTGCCTGAGAAGACTGTATGGGCCTTCACGTCAAATGGAGGAGGGTAGTCGTGCGATCTCTTCTGAAGAGTCTGATTCTGGAGGTGAGACATCGGTGAAAATCAAGCGGGGAAAGGGATCTACGTCTGAAAGGAGCTCTTTGTCCTTGAGTTTTCGGACACAGTCGGGCTGGCAGTGTGATGACGATTCGACGTCACCTTTGCCAAGCAGAACAGCGAGTTCTTCATCTGCAAAGCATGGGTCTCTGGCTGCTGGCTCCGCTACCAAGAAGGGAGTTGGTGCTGCATCTAGAAGCGCTGATGGTGGGCAAGCGGCTGCGGCTGGATCATGTTCACGCTCGCTCAGCAGCTGCGGTGGATTCATGCTCTCGCCCTACAACGTCGGGCTTTGCAGCAGCTGCGGCAGTGAGTGAAGATTCTAAATCTCCAAAGGAGATTGCCAACCCTTGGAATCAATTCCAGCACGATTTCAAAGGGAAAGGCTTCTCAAAAGCCACTTTAGCCAAGATGTATAAATATCAGAAGATGAAGGATCAAAAGAAAATGCCTTGAGCCTCATCAAAGCCGTTTTTGGCTGTTCTTTTGCACTGCCGTGAGAACATGGCAACGAAGTCTTGCAGACTTGAAGCACCACTGCCAGGTCGTGCAGACATGTTTCAAAGCAGCTGGGAACAGCTGGGGGGAGTCCGAAAGGGTTCCATCAACCAAATACATTTCTGAGGCATTTTGATCGAGAAACAGGTGTGCCTTGTGATTTTTGGGTGAAGCTCATAAAACCTTGTCATTTGAGCAAACAAACTGAAACGGGTTCGAACATGGATTGGGGCAAGAAGTCAAGAATTGCTAGCGGTATGCCAGACCTCTTTGTTTATCGATAAAAGAGCTGATTCCCCCCCAATAGTTCTTAGTCCAATACTTCCCACTAATGTTTGTCAACCAATAATCAAGTTTTGCCAACAACATTTTTGAAAGATGGTTCAAACACGGATTGGGACAAGAACTATTGCCAGACCCCTTGGTTTACGGCTCTGATTTCCCCAATTGTTTTTCATGAATACTTCCCATTGTTTTATCACAAAATAAGATCACTGGAATTCATTTGACAAGAAACAAACGGAGGGCTCAAAGCTACGCCAGGGCCAGAATTATCTATTTGACACCAACCCTCTGGTATATAGATCTGAACCACCAATAGTTTTTTAGATAATCTGATTTTATTCCACAACAAGGTCATGAAACATCATGAAGCCGGGTTTGAACACGGATTGGGGCAAGAACTATTAACATGTATTTGTTGTCAGACCCCTTGGCTTATAGATTAAATCTGAGTCCCCCAATAGGTCTATACCTCCCGAAACTGTCTGTCACCCAGTAATCCCTGGAGTTTAATTACTTGGCAACAAAATTCATTAAAGATGGTTTAAACACGGATTACGTATTTGATGCCAGACCCCTTAGTTCGTTGACAAGTTGATGCTTGACCCCTTGATTGAGTCTCCCCATTTTTTCAATTATGACTTCTCCCAGCATCTGTCCAAATAATTTTACCCCCATTATCAGCCATCACTTCCAACGAGCTTTTCTCACCATCAGTTGGACTCAGCATCCCATCGCTCTGCACTCACAGCACTGAATGCGGCCACCCACGCTGCTGTAGCTGCTCTAACACTCATGGCGTTCCCTGCCAATGTCTCAACCTCCTGATTGCCATCAGCAGTCTCCGTGCTAAAGAAAATATGAATTATTTTGATTTAAGACATACACGCTAAAGAAAAGGTCAAAGGTCAGAAAAGATAGTCAAAATGCCAAGGGTCCTTGTCAGAGAGGAAAGATACATCCAGTTTGTCCAGGGGCACCGACTGGAACAACATCTTCTCCGTAGCTGCAGGGCAAAAGCTCTTTCAGCAAACATTAAGTATTAGTAAACAAACTTCAGTTGAGGGTTAAACACATGCTATGAAACCTACACCTTAAAATAACGTATGTTAGTATGTTTGGACAAGCCCGGACCTGTCAAGTAGCGGCCAGAGGACAAATGAAAGAACTCACCTCACTGCCACAGAAAAATACCCCAAACAATTTCAGGGATAAAGTTGGGGATAGCCGCAAAAACCAAAGTTGATGGACATAAGTTTAAGGGACAAAACCAATACATAACCAAGGAGCCTTTGGGGGTCAGGCACGGCACCCATGGGGAGTATCCCATTCTACCAAAACTCTGGCTGAGGTTCGTGAATCCTCGCGTGCGACCGCAGGATCGAATCAAAGCAAGAGCCTTGGCAGAAGATCCAATGCGCAGGTCAAAGTAAAAATGGTCTTGCACCCTGATTTTATATTTTTGGATGTCAAAATAAAAATGGGATTTAACATGCCAGGTTGCATGGCGTTGGCGCAAGCTGGTCACTGATTCGTCGCTACTGCTATACATCAATGTCTTGACTTTCAAAGGGTCGACCTGACAGGGTCAAAACCATTGGAAAGGTTAAAAAACTATTTCTAATATTTGGGGTTCAAATAAGGTGATAGGGCTTGATATAATTAAAAATTATCATACTATAATATTTATTAGTGGTGATGATATATCATGGTCATGTTTTTAACCATCACCTTTGTGGGATGTTTTGCAACAACCTGCCTTGTTTTCTTTCATCGTTTGCCAATGCTCCTTTGGCCAACGGGGATATCTGAAGTTGGGCCTGGGTGGTTGGCACATGGCCACTTGACAATACTTGAAATCTCTGCTTGAAATCCTAAATTTATCACTGACTCGAACGGTTACTTTCCCTCTTTCTTGTGGGGTTATTTTCTGACTTGGTTGTATTCCCATTAGCAAGTTTTGACTGACTAACCCCAAAGAATGTGTCCTTCCATTTTTGTCACATGTATGGGGGGGATTTACCCAATAAAGGTTGAATGGAAATTATTGTTGGTTCAGCAGTTCAGCACCCCACACTTTGGACAAACGACCCATGAGCCAAGCAGCTTTGAAATCAAATCCCAATCCATGGGTCGGCCACGTTCTGGCCTAACAGACCTTGCAGCGATGTCACGTTGAACTTCAGGATGGTGATCTGGAAACATCAGGTGCCTCCTAAGTAAGATTCCCCAAAGAAAGTCAGTTAGATCCTTTAGGAGACTAGCATCTCAAAGAAACAACAAGAAACAACAAAACATATTACAAAGGAAAACCAGATGTTGGCTCTGGGAAGTTACCCTTCCTTTGCACTTGCATCTTCTGGAGAGTCTCTTCCAAACAAGATTCCAGTGCTCGATGTGTAGTGATGTCACTGCGAAGAACTGTTGTATGGATTGCAAGGATATATACCCTCCGTCTCTTTTGCACATCTCCTAGGTAAATGGGGTCCACAATGATTTTTCCAATCAAATAGCCATAACGCTCGAGCTTCCGAAGGATCCTCCAAACCTCTGGGTATTTGCGTTCACTGCAACCCTTGAAAGTAAATGCACCCCAAAGGATCAACTCAACCCAGACAGTAAAATGGTTCTGAAGCTAAAACCTGGTTGCCTTTGGCCAAATGCGAAGAATTCCACAAACATTCTCAAGGAATGCTATTTTGGGTAGACAGCGGGCCACGGAAGCCATCACCCGAAAGAAAATCCTTGCAGCCGCTTCTTTGAGGAAACGCGATTGATTATGGAGCATAGAAAACCTTCAGGCAGTGGCAACTGGCTGGGGGCAGGGTGGCACAGGACTGGTGGACCTTAAAAGTAGATAATAGTTAATGGGGATAATCAGTATGATGGTTGGGAATGACCTTAATTACTTTACTTCGAGTTATCCCCACCATGACACTTATACGTTTTGTTACTGGCCAATCTTCTGGCATTCTATCTGACATTCTATATGGCGTTCTATCTGACATATCTTCTGGCATTCTATCTGGCATGTCTTGTGGCATTCTATCTGGCATATCTTCTGGCATTTTATCTGGCATATCTTCTGGCATTCTATCTGACATTCTATATGGCGTTCTATCTGACATATCTTCTGGTATTCTATCTGGCATATCTTCTGGCATTCTTTCTGACATTCTATATGGCGTTCTATCTGACATATCTTCTGGCATTCTATCTGGCATGTCTTGTGTCATTCTATCTGGCATATCTTCTGGCATTTTATCTGGCATATCTTCTGGCATTCTATCTGACATTCTATATGGCGTTCTATCTGACATATCTTCTGGCATTCTATCTGGCGTATCTTCTGGCATCCTACCTGGCATATCTTCTGGCATATCTTTTGGCATTCTATCTGGCATATCTTCTGGCATTCTATCTGACATTGTATCTGGCATTCTATCTGGCATACCTTCTGGCATTCTATCTGGCATATCTTCTGGCATTCTATCTGGCATACCTTCTGGCATTCTATCTGGCATATCTTATGGCATTCTATCTGGCATATCTTCTGGCATTCTATCTGACATTGTATCTGACATTCTATCTGGCATATCTTTTGGCATTCTATCTGGCCGTTGGGGTCCAGCGGTGCGCACTGAGCTCGGAAGGTCCCAAGTTGAGGTCCAGCGGTGCGCACTGAGCTGGGAAGGTCCCAGGTTGAGGTCCAGCGGTGCGCACTGAGCTGGGAAGGTCCCAGGTTGAGGTCCAGCGGTGCGCACTGAGCTCAGGAGTTGGGGAAGAGCTTGGCGAAGAGTTGGCAAGGCGGAAGTGGAGGTGGAAGTCGATGCAGACATGGTCGAGGAGAAACTGGAGGAGGAGGAGAAGGAGGAGGAGGACAACAGCTCTGATAAAACCTAACAACCCTCACCTGGCACGTGGGGAAAAACAGATAATTGTTAATGGGAATAATTAGTATGATGGTTGGGGTTGACCTCAAAATAAGTAGATAATAGTTAATGGGAATAATCAGCAGGATAGGTGGCAGGTCATGTATAATATATATTTATTATGTGCATTTATGTGGGAAAAGAAAAAGAAACAGACTGGGAATAATAGTAAATTTCAAGTGGCGGCTGGCAGGGGAATCCTGCTGCGTAAGTGTTGATGGACTTTGCCAACCCACCAAGCTCATCAGAATCCCTGTTGGATATGTCCGCAAAAAGCCTGGGATAATGGAAAAACATGACGCTTCAATTTCTTTCTGGGGAAAATAGAGAAACATTATTTTGCCAAACCATTGCCAAACCAAGATGCCTCGTTGGCTCTAGATTTCCCAGGTTGAACTTCAAAGGCCCAAGTGCGTTGTCACACCTTAGATGCTGGGGATCTTAGCTGTCTAAAACCATAACCTTGTATTCCTTGGAGCGTAAAGCAAAAAAAACGATTGATAAATCAATCCAAGATGCGAGCTCACAAGTTTGCTCTTTGGCATGACCTTCTCAAGAGCCCAAAAAGCGCACTCACAACCAGAGCAATCAGACATTAACTTCGGCACCACTTTGATGGTTTTGAAGAACTCCACCATTCCTCCAGGGGCAAATTTGACGATCATGGCCACCAAAAAAATCAAAAATACTTTACTTCGTGTAATCGCCACCATGAAATTTATACATTTTCTTACTGGCAAATCTTCTGGCATTCTATCTGACATATCTTCTGACATTCTATTTGGCATTCTATCTGGCATATGTTCTGGCATTCTATCTGGCAAATCTTCTGGCATTCTATCTGGCATATCTTCTGGCATTCTATCTGACATTGTATCTGGCATATCTTCTGGCATTTTCTGGCATATCTTCTGGCATATCTTTTGGCATTCTATCTGGCATATCTTCTGGCATTCTATCTGACATTGTATCTGGCATTCTATCTGGCATACCTTCTGGCATTCTATCTGGCATTCTATCTGGCATATCTTCTGGCATTCTATCTGGCATACCTTCTGGCATTCTATCTGGCATATCTTCTGGCATTCTATCTGGCATTCTATCTGGCATATCTTCTGGCAAATCATCTTGCACATCTTCTGGGATTCTATCTAGATATTTTGTGGCATTCTACCTGACATTTTATCTGGCATTCTATTTGGCATACCTTCTGGCATTCTATCTGGTACATCTTCTGGCATTCTATCTGGTATATCTTCTGGCATTCTATCTGGCATATCTCATGGCATTTTATCTGGCATATCTTCTGACATTCTTTCTAGCATATCTTCTGACATTCTGTCTGGCATATCTTCTGACATTCTTTTTGACATATCTTCTGACATTCTATCTGACATCTTTTCTGACATTCTTCCCGTTGAGGTCCGGCAGTGCCCGCTGCGATCTGGAAGTCGCGGTTGAGGTCCGGCAGTGCACACTGGGATCTGGAGCTCGCGGTTGAGGTCCGGCTTTGCCCACTGGGATCTGGAGCTCGCGATTGAGGTCCGGCAGTGCCCACTGCGACCTGGAAATCGCGGTTGATGTCCGGCATTGCCCACTGCGACCTGGAAATCGCGGTTGAGGTCCGGCAGTGCCCACTGGGATCTGGAGCTCGCGGTGGAGGCCCGGCTGTGCCCACTGGGATCTGGACTGCGAGGAGGAGGCAGCGGTGAGGAGACGGAGGAGGCGGAGGAGGAGAAGAGCTCTCTTAAAATCTAGCAACCCTCACCTGGCAGGTGGGGAATTACGAGTCGTTCGAGGGCTAAGATTATACTTTGGGGTCTTTAAGGATCACATCTTTAAGGATCAAAAAAGATCATTTAGGATTTAGGATAATTGACTTGATGATGAAGGGATTAAAGTTAAGTTTTTCGCAGAACATCGCAGAACATTGATTGGAAGAAGCTGGTCGCGCACTACAGAGGCAGCGCGCACTTTCGATTACACCTTCTCGAGGAGCTTGTGAGATGGTGAGCGCATCTTGCCTACATGACTCGTGCATCGGGGCCCTCAGTGGGCACAGCGGCTATAGTCATGGCTGACGAGTTCACGTCTGGTCTCGACCGCCAGTTGGCAAACAAGGCCCCAGACAATTTTGGGCGAGAAGGCCACAATGGAGTGGCGCTTTGGGGCAAACAAGAGATGTCAGAACGGACCGAAGAAGGTGAGCCATCCTATTATTTTCGACCCCTTGTTGTTTGACCTATTGTGCGAAACCCCAAAACTACATACCAAACATTCTGCATTTACTACCCTTTGGATTGGAGAAAAGAGTTCAACCTTCTGAGAACAGAAACCCAATTTGTGAACCTCTTTGAGGTGTCAAGGCAGTTTTTGCCCAGCACAGTCCTGCCAACCTAATCAGTTCCATTTCCCAGCCACCGTTTAAGTAGCAAAGTTGGTTCTGAGTGAGCTGCAGGTCTTGTGGGCGATGCCTCTCATTCCTCAGATGTTCGGAAGCGATGTGGGCAAAAAAGTGCTTCTGGTTTATGGTGTGTTTTTTATCAAGGGGGTTGAAAATTGGGATCCACAAAATACCAGAAGTTTCAGCCTAATTGATCAAATTTTGGATGACTTGGGGGTGCATCCATGAGGATTTTTTATAGGAAAGCCTTCAATGGGAAATAGCCAACAAACGAAAGGATAACACTTTCCAAGGGTCAGCCCTTGTTTGGCCAATTTCAAAACCAAAGGCAGGTCTTCACACTCCGCTAAATCAGAATCATCATCCTCAGTGCTGTGGCTGTAGCTGTATTCGTTGATGTAGTCGTCATCATAGCTATCAATGCCTGAACTACTGGTCGAGGAATGGTAGGAAGAAGAGCTGCCTCAAAGGATGTTGGCATGCAAATGGAAATAATGGCTATTGGGGGAACTAAGATCCTAAGATAATCAACCGATGAAAATTGAAATACATAATTACCAAGTAACTGGACCCAGACTGTTGTCTGGCTCTCTTCCCCATGGCTGCTTTGGCTGCACATGGATGAGAGGGGATCTGATTTGTGAAGAAGTTGTCATTTTAGAAACAAGTTATAATAAGTGGTCTGAGATTTCCCCTTTGTGATTAGTTCACCGATTGGGTCATTGATTGGTTGGGGATGTTCTTTGGTTGATGCTTTTATAAGTGATGAACTTGGGTTGGATGAAATGGCTGATTGAGTGAGTTGACACATGAACTCTTTTCCCCTTGAGCTCAAATGTTGAAGTCCTGGTTTGAAATGGTAAAAGTCCTGGTTTGCATGCCCCACTCTTGTATCTATTTTATTCTATTTTTATCTATATGGGGAAATCTTGGCCCCTCATCGTTTAGGTTTGGGTTTGTGTTCTGCACAATTATGTCGGTTTGACCCATTGCCTATTGGAGCCATATCTTTAACCCACTGGCACAACTCTTGATCCGGGACAGTTGCTTCCGGGCAGTTCCTCCAACATTTCATGAACATTGTAGGACTTCTCACATGCATCATGCACACATATGCACACCGGAGCAGAGGATATCAGAGGTACATTTGTCCTCCTGTGGTTATGACATTGGTACCCTAATGCCTATCTTTGCACCTTGATTTCTTGTCTAACATGATGACTGTGAAGCAAAGCCGAGGTTTGTCTTGGATCCTGCCTTTGCGCAGAGAGCTTGGTAGCGGTGCGTGCTTGCAAGTCTTTGAAGCTGGCCAACCATGTTTTGGGCCCTCAGTCTTCAGAATATTCAGAATGACAAAGAGACGGAGTGAGGTCTGGACATAGAAAGGCCATTTGGCTTTCCGGCGAGGACAGAACAGCCAGATATTGATCAGAATGTTCATTTGAAGTTTGATTATGTTTTTTATTTATGTGTTTTTTTCGGTAGAACTTTTGCTGCCTATGTTCTGAATTTCGTGGTGGCGATTCTGAAAGCCAAACTGCAAGGACAGCAGCGAGGTCTTCACTTGGGAATTCGTGGGCATTGAAGGACCTTCAAAGGACAGATCCAGCTTTTGCAAGCTTTCTATAATTGTCTATATCTTTTTATCTTCAGATATCTTCAGGATCATGCCACTGGAGTCTGTTTGACCGGGGCTCCGACATCCACCGGTTTCACAATGTTTCACATGCATGCATCATTTGCTCAGGTGTCATGACCCAGTTGCCCAGTACAGTAGCCATTTGTGGTTGTACCTTCAGGCCTTAAGGCTGATCCTGAAACGCCTGCCAGTTTGTCCCATGAGTTGCCTTTGGCACCAGCTTTTGCTGACCTTGGCTGTGACCTGTACTGTGTGCACACATTGCCAGAGCGAGGATTGTGAGGCAGATGGGGCAGGCTTCGTCCAATGGAACCGCTTTGATCGTTTGAAGCGAAGCCGTGCCCGGCAAGGCAGCCATCACTACAACCCACCTCCTCCCACAAAGCCCAACATTTTCCTGATCATCATCGATGATTTGGGTTTCAACCAGGTCGGCTACCGCGCCAAGCAGACCGGCAACATGGATGTCATTACCCCCAACATCGATGATTTGGCTGGGAGAGGGATCATCATGGACCGCTTTTATGCCACACCTTGGTGTGCTCCAAGTCGAGCAGCTCTACAGACAGGCCGCCTCGATGCCTTGAACCCCAACGTTGCCAACAACATTTGGGACTGGGACGCTGGTGCCATTTACGACTACGAAGGCCAAAACTATACCACGCCTTTTGTTGGTGGAATCCAACCAGGTACCAAAACGCTTGGGGAGAAGCTCTCCAAACACGGCTATGTCTCACATTTGAACGGAAAGTGGGGCATTGGTGGGGGAGCTTGGGCCAACACTCCCATGGGCATGGGATATTCCAGCTTTATGGGCTGGTTTGGTGACAGCATGGAGAGCTGCGATGGTTCTGAGCCTGGCTTTGCCGTGGGAGGTTCTGGGCCTTTGATGGACACTTTGCCGAGCTTTTGGCGACAAGATTCCAAGGTGGGGCAGTTTCTGCCATGTCATGCCATGTCATGCCATTTTTTGGGGATACTGTAGGGTTCTGAAATGTTCTGTCAATGATATTTGATGACACTCTGGCGTCATTTTCTGTAGGCAGGCTGCAATCTGGTTGTCCTGTTTGTGGCGGCCTGGAGAGGAAATCGGTTTTTGGGGATCTATTCACGAAAGCCAGCCGCTAGGCTAGGCGAAGTTCTATATGCGAACAAAGTGAGTTAAGGGGGTCTGGGGGCAGAGCGCCCGAAAACGGACAAAAATGAGGAAATTAGGTGGTAAAAAAGGTGGCCACAGGTAAACTTTTTTAGGGTTATGTACCAGGTGGCAATTGGGTGACGTTGGGGTATCGATTCCCCCCTGGTCCGCCCTCCGAGGTGGATCTGGGCAGATTGCAATGGAGGGGAAAATGATGAGAAAAACAATAGAAAAAATGAGGGAATATGACATAAAACAATGGGGAAAAAATGGGAAAGGAGGGGAAAATGATGAGAAATGATGAGAAAAACAATGGAAAAAAGGAGGGACTTTGACATAAAACAATGGAAAAAAATGGGAAAGCAATGGAAAATTTGAGTAGAACGCTTGGAAAATTGATTAAAACGCGAGGAGAAACGGTGGAAAGAATAGGGAGAGGGTAAAATGGCTCCGATGTGGGACCATTATCGCGTAAAGCACGCGTGAAACAATGGAAAAGCAATGGAAAAATTGCAGTTTTGATGTGTGACCACTATGGAGTAGAAGCACAGAAAAAAAACCATGGAGGAAACGAGCAAAACCGTTTATACGGTGCAACTGTAGGGATTGTGGAAGGTGCATTTGGGCAAGCGTTAGACACGTTGGAGAAATCGAGTAACACCATGGCAAAACACTGGAAAAACTGATGAAATGGAAGGATAAATTGATCGCACAAAAACGCGAGGAAAAACGGTGGAAAGAATTAAAGGACCGGATAACCCCACATGTTACCAACTTCTTTAGACTTAGACTGACCATAGAAGAGCAAGAAGGGAAGAGGAAGTATAAGAGTGATGGAGCGGTGATGGTGGGTGAGTTTGTGTGTATGTATGTATGTTCATGTACAGTGAGTGAGTGAGAGTGTGAGTGAGTGATGCGAGTGTGGTGTGTGTGAGTGAGGGATGTGAGAGTGAGTGAAGTGAGTGAAGTGAAGTGAAGTGAAGTGAAGTGAAGTGAAGTGAGTGAGTGAGCGGGTGAGGGAGGGAGGGAGGGAGGGAGTGAGGGAGTGAGGGAGTGAGGGAGTGAGTGATTGTGTGTGTGTGTGGGTGAGTGGGTGAGTGGGTGAGTGGGTGAGTGGGTGAGTGGGTGAGTGGGTGAGCGAGTGAGTGAGTGAGTGTGTGAGTGAGTGAGTGAGTGAGTAAGTAAGTACATGTTCCACGCCTGCCAGGGCGTATATCTGACCCCTTGGCAGCGCACATTGTCTTACGCCTGCCACGCAAAAGCGGCGGAGGCCCATGCCTGCCACGCAAAAGAGCCGGAGCCCCAAGGGACGTTGGGGCGTACATCAGACCCCTTGGCAATGCACATTGTCCCACGCCTGCCACGCAAAAGAGGCGGAGCCCCAAGGGACGCCAGGGCGTACATCAGACCCCTTGGCAATGCACATTGTCCCACGCCTGCCACGCAAAAGAGGCGGAGCCCCAAGGGACGCCAGGGCGTACATCCAACCCCTTGGCAGTGCACATTGTCCCACGCCTGCCACGCAAAAGCGGCGGAGCCCCAAGGGACGCCAGGGCGTACATCCAACCCCTTGGCAGTGCACATTGTCCCACGCCTGCCACGCAAAAGCGGCGGAGCCCCAAGGGACGCCAGGGCGTACATCCAACCCCTTGGCAGTGCAGATTGTCCCGCGCCTGCCACGCAAAAGAGGCGGAGCCCCAAGGGACGCCAGGGCGTACATCCAACCCCTTGGCAGTGCACATTGTCCCACGCCTGCCACGCAAAAGCGGCGGAGCCCCAAGGGACGCCAGGGCGTACATCCACCCCCTTGGCAGTGCACATTGTCCCACGCCTGCCACGCAAAAGCGGCGGAGCCCCAAGGGACGCCAGGGCGTACATCCAACCCCTTGGCAGTACACATTGTCCCACGCCTGCCACGCAAAAGAGGCGGAGCCCCAAGGGACGCCAGGGCGTACATCAGATACCTTGGCACTGCACATTGTCCCACGCCTGCCACGCAAAAGCGGCGGAGCCCCAAGGGACGCCAGGGCGTACATCAGACCCCTTGGCAGTGCACATTGTCCCACGCCTGCCACGCAAAAGAGGCGGAGCCCCAAGGGACGCCAGGGCGTACATCCGACCCCTTGGCAGTGCACATTGTGCCACGCCTGCCACGCAAAAGCGGCGGAGACCCAAGGGACGCCAGGGCGTA